CTGTGGTACAGAGTCCTGATCACTCCTAACTTGTGTTCCAGTGGGTGGTGGGAGTCAAAACGCCAATATTGGTCTGAAACTCTCAGACTGAAGAAGTCTCTTGGAGGAGAGACGAAACGTTTCATTAGAGAAGAACCCGTCCAGAAGACCTATACAATTTTTTTCTTTTTGATTTTTTTAACTTAATTACTGTTTTTGAGAACTGTTATTTTGCACTGCCTTCGAGAGCTGCTCATCTGTAAACTGTGTTGTGCTTCTTGTCCAATGACAATAAAAGGAATTCCTAATTCCCAATGACAGTCTCTCTTTATAAGTTGTTCTGGACTCTTTGGTTACCATTTGTATTACCCTATCCTATCTTTTCAGTTTGTCATCCTCCTCTTGGGGACACATCCAGGGAGGCTGTCTCGGGTCCCGTGGACCTTAAACTTCTGATTAACCTGAGCAGCTGTAGTTACAGGAGCATCCAGCTGCTGTCTGAAAGACTTTACCTTTAACATGATGTCAGTCATTGTCTTTTTAAGTTCCTGGGACACTCACTGTCCTCAGCTTTCTGTGCTCCATGTTCAGCATGATACACACCATGATATCAAGCAGCCCTGTGACTACCTGTTTAAATATACAGGCTGATTTAATACAGGACTGAAGAACCCTGTAATAATTAAAGGACACACCCGAGTTTAACATGTTCCTGTGGTAAAATTAGTTTCCATCTTTTCTAAGAGTTTCCATCTTTTCCCTTTGTTCTTTCTTTCTTAACAAAGTGGTACCAAAATTTTTATTTGCGTCTGTAATCTTTTAACTCACAACAATTTACATTTATATTTGTTTTACGAATTTAGGACACCGGAAGTCTATTTCAAGTCACATCAAAATTAATATTTTGTATTTTTAGTAAGTTTTCAAGCAACATACTATTAAACAGAACAGGAAAAACAATATTTTCTCTTCGTGGCTCTCGGTAATGACTGAGCCACGTCATTTATTTCAGCAGCTACGGGAACAACAGGACGCGGTTTACAAGACTAAACACACACTTAAGTGATTGACAGACTCACAAACCGCTTGGGATAATATCAGACACGTTTTGTTGCCATTACTGTTAAGTATTTTTCTAGATTGACATACAACTCACCGTTTGTAGCAGCGAGAAAAGCCACAGGAGATACACTTCTCCCGACATTTTACTACCTGCTTTGTTAGCGAAACTGCTAACAGGACGTCTTTTTTTACTCGGGGAAAGYTTCCGTTCGCCTGAGCGCTAAAGGGGATTTAAAAAATCCTTTATGGTTTTAATGTTTTTTATTTGACTCAAATAATTGTACTAGTATCTAATGAAATTACCTTCATTTATAATTGTGAGAAGTAAATAAATATGCTTTTAATAAATTATCAGTTTCTTTCTGTTTCTCTTCAGGCATAAATTAAGGCCACCTAAGAAGCTCTTCATCGCCGCTGCTGCTCCCGAGTTTACAAATGAAGCAGCGACCCCTGACGTCCGGTTCGTGTTAACCAGTGAAAACGGTCCAATCCAGATTGAACAGACAGTGATAGTGAACGAATAGAAAGCGCTGCAGCGTTGTGGATTCACGATCCGTCCAATGGACTGAGTGGCAGTGACAGACAGTCCGTCCGCGGTTCGGCGGTGAGCACACCGGATGGGACAGGACAGAGCTACGGAGGAGTGACTGGTACCAACGCTCCCACATCTTGCAGGGACGAACCCCGCGCTCTGGGGACACGTCTCGGGCCTTTCGACGCTTTATTGTCCGCAGCATGTAATTAATAATGAGTGCATCCTGTTTGAGACGCTCTGAACACAGGTTCACAGTGTGAGTGAGGGCCATCATGTACCTCCCTTCAGCCGCTTTGTGAACTCCGTCGTCACTGCTGGCTGGTTCCGAGCATGGASTGACCAGAACCACCCCCCGTGGATGATTTTGATGGGGCTGCTCAGAGTCATGATGCCGCCCAAGTTGCAGCTTCTAGCGCTGCTGGCGTTCGCAGTGGCCATGTTCTTCTTGGAGAACCAGATCCAGAAGCTGGAGGAGTCCCGGGGAAAGCTGGGTGAGTCTGCCGGGCGTCCCTCAGGTGTTGTGGGTCTGCRCATGCTGCACGATCAGACACACACAGTCATGAAATATTCACTTCTGAACTTTGCTTGACTCGAGAAAAATAAATAAACCTCAGCTGACCCGAGTATTTTGCAGAGCTCAACCTGGATCTCTGAGACCAGAACCAGGACCAGATCAGAGCTGATCCATCAGAACCCTGGAAATCCTGATTCTTAAACAGCTTCCACACTAAACCATCTCTCAGTGCTCTCAGAGTATGTGCTGAGGAGGAGTCTCAGCTACCACMACAGAACATTTCAGCTCAGTATCTTTAAAACTGACTGAAATGTAGGTCTTTTTGTGTCCCCAACAGTTAGTTGGCTGTGGTGGCCATCTTGAATTGTTTTTCATGTAATTATTTAATGGTTTGTTTGTTTTTTGACGATAATGCACAAAACAAATCAACACACAACAGTGTTTTCCTTTCACTTAGTGCAGGGATGAGCAATTTAATTGATGGAAGGGACCACATTTTTTTTAGTGTCAACAAAAAAAAGTGTAGTGATGCACACTTACCCAAATGTACGCAATACAACTGTCATTTAAAAATCTATCTATCTATCTATCTATCTATCTATCTATCTATCTATCTATCTATCTATCTATCTATCTATCTATCTATCTATCTATCTATCTAGGTGATAAATCGATTTAATTGTTTAATTCGAATTTGCCATTTATAAAGATTTAATTTTGGGAAAAATCCCCCTCCCCACCCAGTGCACTCTTTCGGTCTTTTGCAGTTCAGAGGTCACCCCACCTGTCCCTCAAGACACTTGGTACACAACATGACAATATGGCAGCTAGCAAAGAGGATCTACTTCTCAAAAAAGGCAGTATTTTTTCAGTTTTCTGGAACTGGTTGGATTTGGAGCAACGAATACCTCACTGCAAAATCTGTTTAAAGGCTCTTGTTACAAAAAGCAGGAGCACAACKAATTTGTTTTGACATACAGAGCAATAACTACACACATTTTATGCTCAAATGCATGTATAACGCTTGCATTCATCATAGTGCTGGGCGGTATGACCACAATTTTATATCTCAGTATTTTCAACATTTACAACGGTTTCACGGTATATCACGGTATTTTTTTTATCACAGGTCAGCTGATAATAAATGTACAAACACTGCTTATTAACTTTTTTCTTTTACTGTACAAGTTGCGTGTTATATCTAACTGTGCACGTCACTGAAGAGGTGTTTACTACATTCAGCGATGGTGAAAACGGGATGTTTTTTAACATCAGTCAATATAAGCAGCGGAATCGCCACCCGCCGCTGCAACAAACTGCTCCAACAATAACATTAGCATGCTAACGCACATAGCGGTGCAGCGAGGAAAAGTGTTCCCCGGGAAACAGTTCACTGGCGACCGCGACGAAACGTTCCGAACGTGTTCAGGCTATTTAAACAGGTGTGTGGGTATAAATAAAAAACGGTATTCCGTATGAACCGGTATACCGCCCAGCACTAATTCATCAAATAAATAAATAAATAAATAAATAAATAAAATAAGAGCCTTGCATTCACCGAATAAAAAAAATTGAGTCCTGATCACATAATTACAAGATCAGGATCTTAGTTGTGCTCCTGCTTAAGATCAGGATCTTGTAATTATGAGATAACATGTCATAATTACGAGAAAAGATGAGGGTTTTGAGCAGCTACCACATGTAGACAATAGGACCTATTGTTTTGAGTTTATGTTCCTCCTGGATGCAATGACGTGTGTGCGTGTATACTAGGTGATATACCTCATTGCCTGGTATTTTATTTTATTTATTCAACCAGGAAGTCCCACTGAGTTTAAAAACCTCTTTTTCAAGAAAGACCTGGCTGAGATCGGCAGCTGCAGCAACACATCTCCGTAGGACAACCAATTTAAACACATCAAATAAAAAAATATATAAAAACATTTTAATGAACACAAATTCTAAACAACATGTGCAAGTTATAGAGTTAGTCTCAAGACCTTTCAGTTTTGATTTAAAAGCACTCAGTGAAATTAACTCAGTTTCCAGTCTTTCTGCAGTGTATTCCATTTAGAAGGTGCAGAATGGACAAAAGCCCAGTCAGACCGAGCTGTATAATGTTTATCCACCAGGGTTTAATACAATTTAGATGACTGCAGGGTTGAAACAGGAGGAAGTGTGTGTGCAGATTGTGTATGTACAGGACGTAATGTAACACATTTCTGATGCGTTAGCTACTTCCAGCGGGTCAGTGGACTTTTCACCTGAACAACCGTGAGGACTTGACATACCTGTGTAATGTCAGCATCCTAATGCCATCTGTAATGTTTTGTTGACTGTATTGAATTGGACTCTTAATTTGAGATATCAGCTATTGAAACCAGAAGTACAACTACTGAAGTTGAGCGCTGGTGTTTGTGATGAAACTAAACAGAACTCCTGTAGACTGGTGTGCWGCTGGATTTATTAACAAACCTGCAGACACAACATCCACATTAAGTAAACTCAATATTTCCCAGAGTTTCATAGAGGAAATAAAAGCCTATAAAAACACTACTTCTCCTGTAGTGTAGATCAGCTACAGTATGACTCTCCTTTTTTCTTATTATGAGATCAGGAGTGTAATATGTTTTGGTGAATGCTCTTTCGTACTTTTACTCTYGYTTAATAAATATGGATACAAAATAATTGAAGCAAACAAAACACAAACTCTTACTTTAGCAGCTAAAGTGCAACAGCAGAAGACAACTTGAGGTCCAACTCCTGCGTGGTTCTGGTTCCGGTAAAATGTTGCTGTTGTTTATGTACTTGTTGTGACTTCAGTAAACCTCATATTTAGCTTTGTGCAACATGTTGTAGTGACTTATATTTAAATCCTTCATGGCAGACTGTGTCTCTAAGCAGACTGAACACAGGAATGCCTTGAAAATCTGCAGATAGTCTACTTCCCAAGAAAAAAGTGTTGTTGTTTTTGTTTGTTTGTTTGTTTGTTTGTTTGTTTGTTTGTTTGTTTGTTTTTCTTTACTTAAATGCTCAAAGCAGCTCTTAAATTCTAAGTGGTCATTGGCTACGTTCACACTGCAGGTCTTAATGCTCAGTTCCGATTTTTTGATAAAATCCGATCTTTTTGTGTGAACGTTCACATTACATTTTAAATGTGACCTGCATCAGAC